TAAATAATTTGGGGGAATGGAAATAAAAATCTGGAAAGGGAGAGAACATCAATCTTAATAAATGCTTTTTTGAACAGCTTAAATTTTTTTGTATGTATTATTTTCATAATGATAAAAATATCAATATAAAGATGACTCTGGTTGGTATTGGGGGAACACATTGGAGAAGATGGAAAAGAATGAGACGAGTTAGGACAATATATAGTGTGCTAAGTAGTGATGATGGTATAGCAGACTAGGGAGAAGATGGTGAAGAGAAATAATGGATAGGTTAGAAGTATATATTATTGGCTGATGGAGAGAATTTTGGTGATAAGGAAGAGGAATTAAGAATTGCTTTAGGAATTTATTTAAGCAATTGAATAAATTGGAATGCTGTTTATATAAGTGGGGAAAATGTAATGGGCTAGTGTTATAAGAAATGCGCAGATAATCCTACTTTTAGGCTGAGAAGATTGTATTTAAAGATGTGCCATGGATAGTTATTTCTTCTCTTGAGAAGAGGGAATTGATAAATGCTCTCCATTGCCTGCAGCAGGGGATGTTACAGCCACTGACAGATCTTGCCAAAAGATAATTTAGATCTGATTTAACAAAAAAGAAAATGAGAACATTCTAAAATATTTATGTCTCCATCTGGCCGAAAAAATATGTATATGGTTTTTACCATGTGAAGTTTCTATTATAGAATTAGTAATTTCTTTTAGTGTTTTAAAAGAGAAAAATGTTTTGATTCCCCCAGTATTATTGAGGCATGAGAGACTTATAAAACATGTATTTATTTAAGGTGAACAATGTGATGTTTTGATACACACACACACACACACCATACTGTGCCTAATTGACTTTTATCATTATCAGTCAACTGGTTTATGAAAGGGCAGTGGGATCATGGTCAGAATCAGTTTCTCTTTGAGGCAGATGCCAGCTTATTAAAGATATCAACCAAGGAAACCACACTGCTTTCCCATCTAAAATGGAATGGTGTCACATTATAAAAGACACTTGAAATCAACTGTCAAATAGTAACAGTTAGGGGGCTGAGAAACCAACGAAAGTTATACCTGATTATTTCATAGAATAAAATAGAAGTAGAAAATAAAAGAGACATGTTGAAAATCCTAGACTGATTCATACTATCTCACTGCTTTAAAGGGAACCAATTAATTTCTTTAGGTCCTAAAAGGAATAAAACTTATAATACCTGATCTTTGCAAGATATCTGAAATCAAGCAATCGGCTAAACAAAGACACAAACAAAATAATGAATTTCAGAAACTGTCTTAATGTTAATTTTATTCTGCTTAATAATAAACACCCAAATGTAGATTCAAGTTGGCAAGTATGATATCAGACAGATATGTATTTGTTGTCAGTCAGCAAGTTATTTTTTTCTGATACAACTACATTTTTCTTAATTGTTGGCTCTGCTCTGTTTCTTGCTATCTTAAGTTATGAAACTGCATTATTTTTCTCTTTACATTTTGTGATTGCCTCTTCACAGATCTGTTATATTTTAATATTTTTAACTTTATCAAGCATTCAGTATATTCAAAAGGATGTATTAGACACAACCAAGTTATTAACAATATTTATCTTCAGGATATATTACAAAAAATATATCTTGACTTTGTAATGAAAAATAGAAATCATTTCTGTTAAAAATATGTTATAATCTTTTATAATAATGCTTTAAAATAAAACCTAACTTGTTGAATGACATTAACCTACTTTGAGTAAAATTATTCCTGGGCAATTAATTTAAATTAGCATCCTTATTTATCTAGTTTATTGAATGAATAGTGATTGAATAGCACCAAATATAGCCTTAGTATTTATCATAACTCTTGGCTTAGATATAGTTTTATACTTTTATTCTCAATTCAACCATTTCTGAAGAGAATAATAGTGCTATTTACATGCAGTTTCCCATGGGCTACCCCATGTGTTGGGTTCATTGCAGCAAAGTAAATACTTTGCTTTATGTTCTTCATTTTAGTGCAGTTATGAGTCCCACTCAAGAGAGTGGCTTTCACATAGAATACCTCGTGTATATACTCGTAACTTTTTCTGAAATACAGTACCAATCACTGTACTAGCTAAGGAGAACATAATGGCAAAGATGGGGACAATGTTTTCCCTGAAAGACCTTATAGTAACAGGTTTATTTGGAGCACTGAGAGGTAAGAGGAAGGACATATAGCTAATATAACTGTTGAATATAAAAATTAAAAGTATGAACAAATGGTTAGTCAAATATGTGTAACTGACCACTGGAATGTAATGAAAATGAAGCAGATTTCCATGATGACTAAGAGATGATAATTTAAAGTAGAGTAGTGAGGTTTTACATAATGTATAATAACTGATAAAGAATACAGTTGCATATCCATATGCAACATATATTTAACCTTTAAAGTGCAATAAAACAATGAGCCTGCTAATGATTTCATAAACAGAACATCAGCAGCAGTGCAGTCTCCCCTGTGCCTTCCCTCAGTCCCAGTCCCCCCGCCTCAAGTCCCTCCACAAAGTATGTGCTCGCCTGGACTTCCCCTTATTTTTCTTTATGTTTTTCCACTTATGTTTGACCCTAACCTAAACAGCATAATGCGTATTTAAACTTGCTTTTACATTTTATTTAAAAAGTGTGTACTGTATTATTCATTTGTGGCTTGCTTATTTTCAATATTATTTCCAGATTCATCCACATTGATATGTTTATTTCTAGTTCTCTCAGTTCCAGCACTATGAATATAATATTGTGCTAACGTATTCCTTTTCTCTATTAGTATTTGCAAAAATTTGGATTTTCTCAGTTTTATGGAGTTAGAATAATGATCTTATAAACATCCTCATACATGTTTCTTATGTACAAGAGCAAGAAGTAGATTTCTTGGTCTAGTACATGTGTATATGCAACTTTATACAATAAGGAAGTTGTACATTTCTACCAGTAATATATGAGTTACTGTTACTCTTTATCCTTACCAACACTTGTTAGTATTAAACTTTTAAAAATGTTGCCTATCTACTATTTGTAAACAGACCTAATTGCAACTTTAATTTGCATCTTTTTATACATCTTTTGGCCAGTATTTCTGGTTTGTGCTATTTTTTTTTGTATCTGATCTTTATAACCATTTATTTGTCATTCATGTATATTACAAATATGTTCCACAAAGTATGGCTTGTTTTATGATTTTCTATATAGGGTATTTTGAGAAAACAGACATTCTCAATTATAATAAAATTTAATGATTTAAAAAAATTAAAGTTCTGGGGTTTCTTTTATCCTGAGAGAGTCTCCCATATATTCTTCTGAAGCTTTTATTATCTTACAGTTGTGTGGGTATATTTTCCTTAGAGCCTCTTTCTCTTTGTAGGCACTGTTAAAGTCCTCCCTTCAATACTGAGAGTC